CTGGATTTTCCCAGTCCCACCCACATTGGTACCATCCCCCCACTGGTTCCCTGAGCATCTCCCCCACCACCACCACATGTTTGTACACACACAAAACACTGAGTTTTTTCTTTAAGAATGGTAATCGAAACATCAATAGAATAGTATATTGATATGTAAATTACCTATTTGTTTATTTAGAATATTTTATACCACCTTTCCACTCAATCAGGGTCCACAAGGCAGCGGACATAGAAAAAAAATTAAAAAATTGAAATGTAGTTGAAAGCATAAAATAATTCAAATTAAAACACATAAACACTAGAAGGAGTAACAGTGACCACTATTGGGAGTTTGCCAGATGAAACAAACAAACAAAAATCTTCACCTGCTGACGAAAATCACCAGTAGAGGGAGACAGACAAATGTCCCTGGGGAGGGATTTCAAAAGTTTTGGTGCCACGACGGAGAAGGCCCTAACTCAGGCCATCGCCTGTCTAGGTTCTGATATTGGATTCACCTGAAGAACACCGTGATTGATGGTACTGAAAGCTGCCAAGAGGTCCAGGAGAATAGACACGGTCAGACTTCACCAAAGCCCCTCCAGTGGTACAGGGGGAGAGAATGACCAATGTGGGGACAGGGAAAGTGCAGTGAAACCCACAATGTGGAAGCCCCATTGGCTGATGCACCACACTGCTATCCACAGTGACAGTAGGGAAACCAAGCTAAGCATCACCTTGTGGAACAGATGGTAATGTCTGAACTGAACCCATGTCTCATTTCCAGAAAGAAAGAAAAGGTTTAGGAGTGACCATGTACATTTGTGATTCGTTGAATTCACTTTTCTAAGTACTACTTGAAAATCATATTGTGCAATTAAAGTTTCTGTGCCCATGTTTATGAGACCAAATCTCTCCTGCAGTGCATACGCAAGGTAAATTGTGCGTCTTCTCTCCCACAGCTTTCAGCCGTGCCCCTGTACCCATGGCAGTGGTCCGGAGGGAACTATCCTGCGAAAGCTACCCCATAGAACTCCGGTGCCCGGGAACAGATGTTATTATGATTGAAAGTGCCAACTACGGCAGGACGGATGATAAAATCTGCGACTCTGATCCTGCTCAGATGGAGAATATCCGCTGTTATCTGCCAGATGCCTATAAGATTATGACTCAAAGGTAGGTATTTGACGTTCCCGGCCTGATGGATTTTGTTTTAATCTGGCTTGCTGTTTATGAACCTCTCTGTTTGCATGGGGCTGTGCCGGCGTTCAGAGTCTGCATGCGCCTTGATGTCGGAGGGACTTTACGGTGTTGAAATCATTATTTTTTTTTAAAATGACTGCGACCCAAATATTTGTCATACTGCAAGCCCGCAGCCCAAATCTGGTTGGTTGTTTTCCATCACTGTTGGACAGTTTGCCGCCTGCCTTCCATGCTTTCTGCTTCCAGGAGCTTTTCTGAGCTGACACACAACTCTGGAGGGACTAGTTTGGCTTTTTTTTTTTTGCTACAATGCACAATGGCCCTGCGAGGCATAACGCTGGCTTGAGAGTTTAAGTGTGGTTCAGTGGCTCCAGGATTGTGCTGGCAATGCTCCCTCTAAGCCAGGGGTGTCAAACATGTAGCCTGGGGGCCAGATCAGGCCCCTGGAGGGCTTCTATCAGGCCCGCAGTGGAACTGGCCATCTCCTGCTTCCAGTTCTGCTGCTGTTGCTGCATCATAGCTTGCTTAGCCAGACTCTCTTAATCACTCAGCCATTTCATGTTTTAACCTGGGTCCTAGACTCAGAACTCTGAGCATGAGATTTCTGTGGTGAATGCCAATAAATCAAAAGTAGGTTTGCAGCTTACAGAGCTAATGTTTTAAGCATGTTTTTATTTTAAGTAAAAAACCAAACATTTGTGTCTGTGTCCTTTATAAAGTTTATATCTCCGCTACCTGGCATTACATTTTATGACACACATGGCCCGGCCCAACAAGGTCTCATTTATGTCAGATCCAGCCCTCATAACAAATGAGTTCAACACCCCTAAGCTGTGGAGCCTTGTGAGCAAAAATTCTACTTTGCGAGCCACTGGCATTGAAGTTGTGAGCGAGTGATTTGGCGACTGCATAAATTAGTTTGTTCTGGAGCCATCCTTCCTGAGCTAAGACAAAAAGGTGTGAGCCGGAGGCTAGAAAAACTATGAGCTGGCTCACGATAACTCAGCTTAGAGGGAACACTGGCTGGAGGATCGCTTCCTTTCCTCTCAGTTCCCCAGCACTTTTCTCTTGTTCACCACTGTTTGAAGCCCGGTTTAACCACTGTCAACCCTCATAAAGCAAACAAGGGGGTATTTTGATATCAGGACATATCCAAGAGTTTTATCCTGGGAAACGAGAGAGAGAGAAAGAGAGATATTGCAAAATGGATATGTAAGTGAGGCTGTGTATTGCCATATTTCATAACTGAGAGTGAGAACAGCAGAACAGGCAGAGATTACCTGATAATGGCCCCGGCCACATGTGCCAGAAAACACGGCAGGGAGGCATGCCTATTTGCGCCGTCGCATTCTGATGTGCCATTATGTGATCAGACGCGACAGCGGCTTCCCCGCGGCAAAGAGGATGATGGGGGAGAAAGCCGCGCACCAGCGCGATCACACCCAGGGAGTCCGCAAGCAGCCCATGGCAAACCATTTGCCAGTAGGTCCTCCCAGGTACTTTTCTAATGCGCATCTTCGGCGGGACGCCACGGGTTCGCCACGCCTCTCAGATGTCCCGGTGTGATTGTGTCTGGAAAATCTGTGGGACACTCGTGCCTTCAGGGCAGCAAATGCTCCGTGTGAACGGGGCCAATGTAACATAGTCAGGTTTCTACAGAGGAAAATGAAGGCAATCCTGTTCAGTAGACAAAAGCGAGGCCACTGTCAAGGGAGGGACCCATGTGGGCCAGAGGACGGTAGCTGCCCAGATCTCTCTTTTCGTGCCTCCCAGTTGGGAGGACTCAATCCTATCTGCCAGCTCTTCCATAGGCGCTTGTTTTGTTTTTTTTGGAAGTACCCGAAGATACATGTTTATTATTTTCTTATAATCCTAAAGACGGACATAAACCACTACAACAAACAACATATAAACCAAGATACTTGTTACAGTTTGTTGCTACACCTAATCCATCGCTTCATTATTCTCTAATATTTGTTAGTATTCTCTAATTCCATTATTATATATTACTACATACTCAAATATTATTTTTGCCATATCAACTTAATCTTTAACTCCATTCACATTATACCAATCATATAGTCTCTTCCAAGTTTTTTGAAATGTCCATTTCTTCGTACCTCTCATTTCCATAGTTCGTAGGCGCTTGTTGAGAGCAAACGGCTTCTTTCCCGAAGAGGGACAAAGCTCTATTTCTTTCCCCGTTTTTACATTTCCAAACTGTAAAATTGTAAATATTTGTTCAGATTCCTCAGAGCCCTAGCAGTAGGGCAGGATATAAATCTGACTGAATTAAACTGTCGGGAAGTGGACCGTAAAGAAGAGTGGAGGACAGCTGTTTATTCCCGAGTTCCGAAAGGCCAGACGCAGGGCGGCCAGGCTGCGCCAGAGCCCGTCTAAATTATGTATGAGGAAGTACCTTCTGATTGAAAGACCTGCTGGACAGTCAGCTATGGATGGGTCTGGGGCTTCCTTCCTCAGAGGATCTTTTTTAAAAGAGCTGATAGTAAATGGAAATGCTGTCACCGGCACACAAACCCAAGACGGCCATGTGCATTCTGCCCCAGTGGAGAGGAAGCAGTGTGCGCCGCGCGAAATCAGCTCCATCTCAGGACCAAACTAGATGTGACCACATCCATGGGTCCAGCCCATGGGTGCCATCTCCTTTAGTTTGCCCCTGGGTCTTAGTCCCTGCCCCGACATGCCTCTAAGGTGCTTGTGCAGGTTTGCCATGGGACAAATGTAGAGTCCTGTGGCCCCTTTAAGACCAACCAAGTTTTATTCAAGGTATGGTCTTTCATGTGCAAGGCACGCTTTTGCAAATGCTTTGGAAGGAAGGTAAGGTTCAAACTTATGGACAGGGGCTGAGCAGCAAATTAGCATGAGGAAGATGTTTTAAGATATGCAAGACAAAATGAAATAACAAGCTGAGGTTATGTCAACAGCTGTAAAGCAATAAATATGTCCAAATAAGATTGAGACTCTCTATTCACTCCTCTCAGGCGTGGAGGTCACTTAACAGCATCCCCCCCCCCCTTTCTGAGTTGGGTACAGGCCCAACACTTTTCCTGGGTAACTTTTCCAATGTTTCAGACTTCTGGTCCTTCCTAAGGAACAGAGAACAACTACTGAGAGTCACATTCCATTAAGATAATGCTTTTCTGTTACTTCAACATTGGGCAAGGTCTCCTTAGCTCTAATCAGTATCCCTAAAGGCTGCTTCAGTGTATCAGGACCTGGGGAAAGTGTTGGGTATTTTGAATATTTATCTTGTGCATTCATTCTTTGGCTTCTGCATTTTCCTATGATGGATCATATGGATAGATTTATTCCAGACAACGGATGCATTTCACTTTGATGAAGTCTCCTTTGTGAATATTTTGCGGGGAATTCAGCTCGCAGTTGGGGTGTGTTTTTTTTGTTATTCTTTGCTGCTTTTTACTGTGCGCTGTACTGTCATTGTTGTAAGTAACTTGTTTAAGCCACACTGCTTCAGACCGCTGCCACGCTGGCGCAAAGGGCGAATTCCTTCCTTCTTTTCTTTGGCTGGGGGGGGGGGTGGAGAGCCTGGGCACATGTGCCCTTCCTTCCCCCTCCGCGGGAACTACCTGGCCCATGTGGGTGGGGGTGGATGAACTCACTACCCACTGCCCTGCTGCCTTGCATGGCATGCGGGGACGGAGGAGGCAGGCAGGCAAGCAAGCAGGCAGGGGAGGAGCTCACTGCTGGTACTTTTATTTCAATTTATTTTTTTAACTTTAATTTAATTAGAGTCCTCAGCCCCCCCCCCCCTGCACAGAAGAATTCCTGGCTACTGGGCTGGTGGTTGGATACAGGTTGTTATTTAAAACCAGCTACATTAGAAGAAGAAAAAGAAGAAGAGATTGGATTTATACCCCACCCTTCACTACCCAAAGGAGTCTCAGAGGGGCTTACAAATGCCTTTCCCGTCCCCTCCCCACAACCTCCCTGGGAGGTAGGCAGGGCTGAGAGAGCTCAGACAGAAAGTGCTCTTTTTCAAGAACAGCTGTGCCAGAACTACGGCTTGCCCAAGGTCGTCCAGCCAGGTGCAAGTGGAGGAGTGGGGGAATTAAACCCAGTTCTCCCAGATTAGAGTCCGCGCACTTAACCACTACACCAAACTGGCTCTCAGCGTGTGTGCTGCTGTTGCACATGTATTCATCAGTATCCATCACTGGGCATGTTATTGCACATTATCCATTACTGGTGAGCATTCACTATGGTTGCACATGCTCAGATGTCAATGGACTAAATGACGGCTGGTGGTCCAGCAGCGAAATATGAAAGTTTGCAGATTTAGAGAGAGAAACTATGCAGCTTCTGTCACCCCCAACCCCAGCAAGATCCAGTTGTGGGTAGGATCTCCTATATGTGGTTTTGCAATGGCAAATGCAGTAATAATGTCTGGGTAGGGAACAGGTTTGAGACCTAGGGAACAGACACGGCAAAGCAGTGTGAGTCTGTGCATGTGCAAGGTATTTGAAAACAGGCACCCTGTGTTTCTGTAAAGGACTGAGACGTAGGGAACAGATGTTGAGTCAGCTGTGTTGAACCATCATTTTAGAAGCAGTCCTTAATTGGCCGGAGCATCGTATTGGTGGGAAGTTGAAGATAACCTCATCGCAGGTTGAGCCGCAGTATTTCCAGGGATGTAAGAGAGCAGGGTTTTTTTTGAACACTCCCTTTCAGGCAGTTCTTACTGACCAAACTGTCAAGCCTCGTTAGCATCCAGTGACAGAAACATTATTTTAGAAGGTAGCTTTCTTCTCCGATTTACTGTTGCTGCACACAATGAAATTTCAAATCAGAGCACACAGTTTTAATATAACAAAGGGCTGCCTTATCCGCTCGGTGCGGCTGTTGTTTTATTCAGCGCCCGTAAATTACGGCAACCCTGCGGTTTAAGCAAATAAAAGGGCCGGGCTGACAGCTTGTCACTGTTTCTGATGACT